AACAATAAAAGCAACACGCGTCGTCGGAACTTCCTTTTTTTGCCTAGGTTAATATTCCTTCCCCCTTCAGGACCGAATCATTCCAAATTTACGTGTTCAAAACGTGGATTGGTTGCTAATCAAAACAATATCGGACCGACTGTAAAAATATTTGGACCTAATGTGCGCTCCTAACAGTAATTCTGCTCTTGCTTCTATTACTACTAATGATCTTGCTTCTAACAACCCTCGCTACACATAACACCATAGTGCTATAGAGCAATGCTTGATATTTTTTAATGTTCTTATCAGTACTTCCCCTAGTACTACTACCATTCATAATACTGATTATGAAAGTGACGATAATACTGATCAAAACAATGTGGGAGTGTAAGGTTGAAAATTGATATTGTCTAACTGCTCTTATCCCATTTCACTTATTCGAAATAATTCGAAAAGTAGCATCAAGATTTTTTCACTCGGACTAATCCAAAGGCTACGAGTCGGCCCACCGATCCCATCATCATCCCCCCGCCCGTACCAGCCCCAAGCCGCACCCTAGGCGGGGAGGAGCTAGACCTTGACCCCGACACTGTCAAGATGACAGAAAGGATCATTAGCCAAAATACTCATGACGAAATCAATCAAGGTGAGACGGTGAGACGGTTTATGTGTGCATATGAAGATTAGATTACTGATTTGTCGATATCTAGTTTCAGCAAATTTCTTTTCTTTCCCCCCAATGTAGTATTTCGGCAAAGTTAATTTTCTTTGTGATCTTTTACCCTTCTTTATTGCCCTGATCTTTGACTTTCTTGACCCAGATTTCCGATATTGGGAAGACGCAAGCGATGAGTACCGTCAGCTGGAAGGATCTCTTTTGCCACTGTGGAAGTTCCACTGTAATAAATCCCGGTTTCAAGTGGTCTCGTCACTCTCCTGGAGTCCCGCTCACCATGACCTCTTCGCGGCATCTTATACACCGGGTACGGGAGTTGACAAATGGAGATCGAAGGAAAATTAAGCGTAAACACAAGTACAGTGATATGAAACAGAAACAGGGTATATTTGTTGACGGTATTGTTACGAAAATGATTATGGAGATGTGAACATAAACTCGGATATAAAGTAGGAGTGAGAAGCGCCGTACTTTTATCTTTCTTTTCATTCAGATAAGCTCTGTGCTTTAGAGAATGAAGGGAGAATTTGCCTCTTTACCCTGAAGAACCCTGGTATTCCCGAGAGAATGCTGGTTACTCCTCAAGGCGTCACATCAGTGCAGTTCCACCCTTCTGTAAGTGCCTAATTGCCTCTCCCTCAGGCGTCCGTTTATATGCACTATTTATAAGAATGTGTAAAGGAAACTGTGTCCATGAAACGGCTGAACATGCAAACTGTCCATATTGTTTTTGTGTTACGAAGGATGAATTACGTTTCCTTCAGCGTGAGAGCGTCGTAGTTGCGGGTCATGGCGACGGGATGGTGACGGTGTACGACATGAGAAACGCCTCGTCTCCAGGGCGGCTCTGCTCCTCCACGACCTCCGGCAAACACCTCCTCCCTGTCATGCAGGTTGGAGTCTCCTTTGCTAATCTCTGAATGACAAAAGTTCGCTATCCCATTTACATGATAATAAAAAAAAAAAGTTCTTTAGAAAGATGTTTTTAAATCCTCTTGGGTTTCGCCATCTTCCTTGCTTTCCTAATGAAGTCCTGGATTAGATTTAACTGTCGCGATGCGAATCCCGTGACGATAAATGACTGGACCATAACACGGGGGTATTTTTGTGTATTTTCAACAGACAGATATATATATATATATATATATATATATATATATATATATATATATATATATATATATATTATATATATATGTATATATAGAGAAGAGATATATATACATATATATATATATATATATATATATATAATATATATATATATTATATATATATATTCATATATATATATATATATATATATATATGTATGTATGTATATAATAGATAGATGTATATGCATATAGATAGATAGATAAGGGGATACATGTACATGTATATATATAGATAGATACATGTCTAAATATACATGCATATAATACGTACATACATACACACACACACACACACACACACACACACACACACACACACACACACACACACACACACACACACACATATATATATATATATATATATATATATATATATATATATATATATATATATATATATATATATGTGTGTGTGTGTGTGTGTGTGTGTGTGTGTGTGTGTGTGTGTTGAATATGTGTGTGTGTATATATATATATATATATATATATAATATATATATATATATATATATATATATATATATATGAATTTATATATAACCTCTCTGATAGGGATTCGAAACCTCACCGCCATTGCAAGGAACTTGCAAGACGGTCACTCTAACCACTGATACACGACCCACTTAAAAGGAGTATGCACCTAGGAGCTATCTAGCTCCTTATATTATATAAGGTATAATTCTACTTTTATCTCTCGTTCGTTTGCCTTTAGATGTTGACGATATTGAAGAATAGAAAAAGTATTCGTATTGTGATCATGATATATGGTTAGGCGTTTGAATGTTGGTCAACAATTTAATTGATCTGTCCCCTTCTTGTAAAAAAGATATGGGCTGTGGGTTATCTCATCAAAATTGTTAACAATATTTATTATCTACATTACATTTCCTTCAAAAGGCAGAATATGAAATAAGGAATATTCTATGGACACAGGGAATTACAGATGGTGGTGTCATATAATGCTGAGAACTGATTATGGCCTTGATGATGATGATGTGGCTGATCCAGATTTCTCACCTTACCAATGCACTTGACAGAGATGTCTCGGAAAAAGATTTATGCCTGCCCATGAAGAAATAAGGGCTCCTACTCAACGGCCATTGAAACGTAGAATGCGTATAGAAAACAAAATTTTAGTTCAGCCTGGTTTTGAGCTTCCTATTGAGTCTCTCTCACGTGGTCGGTGGAGAAAGAGGGACATAAATAATCTATATCTATAAAAGGATGAATTTACCAAGCTAGATCTCCGAACACCTTACTAATACTTTTTTCAGTTTTGTATACCTGAAATTGCTAGTCATAGAGCACTCTACACAAGCTTAACAGGTCAACAACACTGCATTTTCAGAACATGAAAACTATATGTACAGCAAAATGTTGCAAGTGAAAGTTATTATTTGCTTATCAAAATAGCATCATTTTTCTCTTGAGCCTAACCCTACATGAGACCATTAAAGTGTGTGTGTGTGTGTGATTGTAATACTGATTTTGATAGGGCTGTTAGTCAATTATATTTAATTGATAACTTGAATAAACTGCATCTGAGCATGATTAGTATATTTCTGATCTTTTTAGGTCTGCTGTCTAGACACCGAACCAGGGCAGAGCCTAAGCTTCTACTCGGCTTCCCAAGATGGTCGAGTGTCCCAGTGGTTTGTTCGCTCATCATCGCTCGAATGCTCAGACATTCTGGATTTCCAGCAAACCAAGAGGCCAAGAAAAGCTTCTTCGAATGAGGGCAGTCTTGAAGGTAAGATTGAGTAGTGTGTTACAGTTATGATTTGTGTTGAAGTATGTTATAGGCTGGCTCACATTATAGTGTTACGTACAGCGTGAATATTTGCACATACTTTACGTACTACTGGATGTAAAAAAACACCAGTGCCCATTTTGTAGAGCATTAGATGGTCTACAGAAGACATTTAATTTCCACTTATAGCCAGAACACAAAGTTACGAGTCCCTATGCAGAGAAAGTAAGCAAGCATGCAAGCGTATTCACTAGTGCCATCTCGTCAGGTACCGCCACATGTATAGCGATTAGCCCAGAGAGGGATGACATACTACTTCTGGGTGTAGACACAGGGTCGTTATTCCAAGTGTGTACATCCAAAACTAAGCACTCAGTTACTCGCTATCCCGCCCATCTCGGACCCGTAACCGCTGTCACATGGAACAACATCCATAAAAAGGTTTTCGCCAGCTGTGCTTTAGACTGGAATGTCAAAGTGTGGCTGCAATATCACTTGTAAGTAAATCTTGCTGTTGCCGATACAGGATTTTTATTTGAGGTTATATCATTTCACTTCACAAAAAGTCGTATTTTACGAACATATTTCTCCTTACTGTTATCCTAATCATTGTTCGTTTATCGCTATCGTAATTTTTTTATTATCGCTAAAATCATAATTATCGTCATTTATCATTTGCATTACGATCATTTTCATTACCATAATAATCGCCACTGTCATTATTAGTAACAAATTTAGCTGTGGCCAATCACCTCACTTATAGCAAGAAACTGCTCTCAGGTCACCTATAGTAACGTTAGACCTAGGAGGACCTGTTGTGGGTCTGGCATGGTCCCCTACCAGCAGCACAGTGATTGTGGCTGTCACTGAGGAAGGTCGGGTCTATGTATACGACCTCTTCCTTCGCAAGTGTCAGCCTTTGTGCATTCAAAACCTGGTCCAGAGACGTCGCTTCAGCTTAGCTTCCGTGGCCTTCAGTCCTTACCAGCCCGTTATACTGGTTGGCGGAACGAAGTAAGTGATCATGGAATCTTTATGGAAAAGACTTGATTTTGTTTTTCGTGAAGCCCGTGGTGTATCAGTGATATCGACCCTTTTTACATTTACGGAAGAACAATATGGAACACCTCAGATGAAATAATTAAGGCTTACTTATTTGTTGGCACCAGGGGCGTCATTTCATTTTTTCTTGGGAGGGGTGTCAGCGAAGTAAGCACAAGTAGTTTCTGGAACGCTACTAACCACCCGCCCCCTCCCGTCCCCTGAAAATAAAAGAAAAATGAACTATTCTATGAGCATTTATAAGTTACGACCCGAAAGGTGTAATTTAGGTAAACAATCGTGGGAGTATGAGTCTCGGGAGACAATTGCTCAAATAACGCCCCTGGTTAGCGCTGTCATAATCACATATAATGACATTTTATCCTACATG